CCCTTGGTTAACGATAGGACGGGGACTGTAGAGGGGATCATGGCACATCATGGAGTTACTATAACTCCATGATCAAACACAAACAACAGCGCCCACTACCCCGGGTCGCTAATTTTAAAAATTTCACCCCCGGGTCGTCTTCGAGCCCGAGGTAAAGAGTGCAGATGAAAACAAAGGGAATCGCCAAAGCAACAGTCAACTGTACTTCACCCTGGACAAGTCATCCCTGTCGCCGTAATATAGCTTCAGTCTCAAACGATATAATATAAAGTCGATACTCGGCACTCAACCTTTTTGACCTTTTTTTTCTTCTTTGAAATATTCATTGTTCATCATAGAAAATCTTTTGTAAGAGAGATTTTCATAATCATAGAGATAGAGAGAGAGAGAGAAAGAGAGAGGGGAAGAGAAAGGGAGAGAAAGAGAAAGAGAGAGAGAGAGAGGGGGGGTACCATATTTCATATAAAACTTTTAAGCATAATGATTCTTCCTTCATGTATGATTGATTTAGCACCCCTCCCCAAACCCCCACTTAAGAGGTAATTTATTTGTTTACCTAATATTAAATCCATAATAACAGATAAACTTTACATAACTATAGGAAATATAACAATGATAGTGAAACTGTCTCCTTTCACATATCGATTTCTTTTTACTTTTCTTCCTTTTTTTCTTCCACCGACTGTTTACTCTCTTTTATATTGTGTGTCGCCCTCACTGGCGATGAATAGAATTTATTATTGTGAGTCATATTCTATTACTGAACGCTTCAGGTCACTGATTTTGATGTGCAATAGTTCACAGTCTGTGTTAAATAGTAAAAATAACTTTTTCGGGGTGAGCCGTACGTAGTGGATATTTTTAGAGACTGAAGCTAACGGACTTAAACCCAAAGCCATGATCGTGGTGTGGGTTGTCTGCTATACTGAACTCGATACTCATCCTTTTGGGTTTTGTCTCGCCTGCGTAGCAAAAAAGCGAGACATAGGCGCCGCTTTTCCGGTGACGGCGGCGACGGTGACGGCGACGGCGTCAACATCAAAAACTTAACCTAAGGTTAAGTTTTTGAATTTTTGATATAATTTTGAAAGTATAAGTTCTTAGTCAATAAAACTTGGACTATAGGGTTATCAAGTATCCCCAATCATTTGAGTAGAATTTCAGGTCACAAGGTCAAGGTCAAAGGTCATTTCAGGTCAACAAACTTAGACTTTGTTGTGGCATCAAAATCAAGATTTTTAATTTTTAGCATATTTTCAAAATTGATTATTCAAATTCCATGAAACTTGTACCCAAGGGTTATTAAGTATCACAAATCATATTACACAAATTCCAGGTCACAAGATCAAAGGTCAGTAGACTTGGATTATGTTTTCACAACTTAATATGAGAGTAAATAAATAAATAAATATATTTTTGTTATTTGTTCATGATTCTTAGTCAATATTCACTTTAAAATGTTAATTATATTCAGAGGATTTCATTTTGGAGGGGGGGGGGCCTGCTAATGGGCCACCCTGCCTATAAATAATGTTCCAGCCTCAATTTTTTATCGTACCGAATTGCGTAATGCAGGCGAGACCGCCGAGAGCGTTTCCCTTGTTTGTGTGTCTGTTTTGTTTATTTGTTTCATTGGAATATCTCATATTTACAGGTAGTCTTGACTAGCAATTTATCTAGACTGGGGACCTTGGTTTAATACTTGGGTTTTGTAAGAGAGCAGTATTTCTGTAAAGATGTTATTTTGACATAGAGATTAATGTGTTTTTTTTAATTAGGTCTTTTAGAGAGTTTTTGGATATAGAGTCAAGACTTCTAATGAATGCTTTTTAAGGCTTTTGATTATATATATATATATATATATATATATATATATATATATATATATATATTTATCTATCAAGTATGAGCCCCCCCCCCCCCCCCCCCATGAAGAAAAGGAAAAAAAAACAGTGAATATATAGCACGAGAGAGAGAGAGAGAGAGCGAGAGCGAGAGGTACCATATTTAATTGAAAACTTTGGAGCATCATCTTCGTTTCGATCGATGATCTAGCCCCCCCCCCCCTACCCCTACCATCTTCTTCCCCACTTCTATTTTTTTCACTACTAACATGCACACACACACACACACACACACACACAAAGAGAAACTTGAAATCAATATAAGAAATATGATGATAATTTTTGAAAAACTGTCTCATGTCACTTAATAATAAAAAAATAAATCGACAAATAGATATAATATATCTATTTATCTATTTTTTTTTTCAATTCTTATTCCTTTTTTTCCACCGACTTTCTATATATAATTGTGTGTCGCCCTCACTGGCGAAACGAAACGCTTTCGTTCACTGATTTTGATGGTGCAATAGTTTACAGTCTGTGATAAATAGTGAAAATAATTTGTCTTTCGTCGGGGTGAGCCGTGGTGTAGAGGATCTCGCTCAAAAGGCGAGGACAGCAACCGTACGCGATAGAACCCCGTTCCAGATAATGGTCTGCGGGTTGCCTGTTACACTCAATTCGACACTCATCCTTTTGGGGTTATTTTATTTTATTTCTTAATATTTGTTTCATTGGAATATCTCATAATATTTTATGAAGATTCTTTAGAGAAAGGAACGTAGTCAAAAGGATAATTTTTGTAAGATTCAATATCAAACAATAATTCGTGTATGCTGAGTCGTTAATAATTTGGGGAAGATAGTCTTGCTAAGGAAATGGAAGTGGGGAAGGCATAGAGATGTATACTTTGTTAGTAGTATATATCTCTATGGGGAAGGATTGAGACAAAGAGAGACAAAGAGAGGGGGAGAGAGCCGAGAAAGAGAGAGAGAGATAGAGAGAGAGAGATAGGTAGAGAGGGAGAAAGAGAGGGGGAGAGATGACGAGATAATGATAGATAAAACGACAGCTAAGTAGAGAGAGAAAGAGGGAGAGGGGATTAGGGAGAGATAGAGAGAGGGAGTGAGAGATATAAAGAGAGGGAGAGAGGGATATAGAGAGAAGGTATAATTGGGCCGAGGAGCAGTTATTATACGAGAAGAGAGAAGGAAAGATAAAACGAAAAAAGGGGTAAAAAGGTGACAAAGGGTGGGCGACAGAAAAAGAAAAAAAAGCAGAGCCATTTACAGGTCTCTGAAAAAACTGAGCTAGACAGAACAAGAAGGAAGAATGAACCCCCCCCCCCCCCATGAAGAAAAAAAAGAATGATAGTACAACTGTATCTATATATCGGTGTTTTAAAAAAATTCTTTCTTCTTTTTTTCCTACCGACTGTTTACTTTCTTTTATGTTGTGTGTCTCCCTCACTGGCGATGAATACAATAATTATTATGAGTCATATTCTATCCCTGAACGCTTTAGTTCACTGATTTTGATGGTGAAATAGTTCACAGTCTGTAATAAATAGAGACATGTCATTTACTGAAGAATATTTCCTAGACAGAAAGAATAATAATAATGAGCCCCCACCGCCCCCCCCCCCATGAACAACAAAAAACAAAGAAACATGATGTTGAATACAGTTTATAAAGAGGGTGGGAACTTATGATCCTTTTGATAAAATGTTTCTTATTGCCAGGTGTGAACCATGACACTTCTCCGTTCATGCTTTACTGAATAAGCCTCACCCTTCCCCAATGCATTTTCCCTATTGTCAAAACTACCCCCCCCCAAAAAAAAAAAAAAATAACAACAACAACAAACAAACAAACAAGAGAACAATTAAAACAGTATACGATCTATGATAATAATGGTGGTTAGACTGCTTTAGTGTTACTTGTATTTTTGCCATCGAATTCTTACTTGTATGTGTTTATCGCCCTCTCTGGCAAAGTACTGAATAATGATGGTAGTGCAATATTTTGGGGGGTGATAAATAGTGAAAATATGAAATAAGGTGGGTTTTGTCGGGGTGAGCAGTGGCGTAGTGGGGGTGAGCCGTATCGCTTGAGACTGAAGCTAACGGACTTAAACCCAATACCATAATCATGGTGTGGGTTTGTTTGCTACACTGAACTCGAAACTCATCCTTTTTTTGATTCATCGAAATATTTATACACTGTAATTCCTTATAGATTTGTTATGCTGAATCTTCTTTTTTTTTTAATCAGGAGGGGGGGATTGTGAGTGATACGTTAGATTGCGAGAGATAGAGAGAGGGAGAGAGAGAGAGAGAGAGAAAGAGAGAGAGGGAGAGAGAGAGAGGGGGGGGGGAGGGGAGAGAATATCAGAAAGACAAGAATGACGGAATGAAGAAGAGGTAAAGAGGAGAAATTGAAAACAATTTACAACAATGGGCGATACAACGAAAATCTGAGCTAGAAAGAACAATAAGAGCCACCCCTGTAATTGTAATCGTTTGTTTGTTTCACCGGGTAAGGGGGGGGGGGGGAACTAAAGCAACACAACAAAAAAGATAGAGAAATTGTGAGTATAATAACGTTGGATTGACAAAGAAAAAAAGAGAGAGAGGGAGATAATGGCAGAATGAGAGACAGTAAAATAAGAATGAAAGAAAGGAAGGCAAACATTTTGAAATGGAAAATAATCAAAAGAATCTGTGCGGAGAAAGAAAATCCGAGATAGAAAGAGCAAAAAGAAAGAAAAGGGGCTGAGCAGGATTTTACGAGAAGGAAAGAAAGAAAGAGGTTAAAGAGAACAGAGCGGACATAAAGGAAAAGCCAGCCCCCCCCCCCCAGCCATTGAATTGAAGGGGAAAAGGAGTAAAGAGAGAAATAGTGAAAGGGAGAAGATGGAGGGGGGGGGGGGGGGGTGGCAAAATGAAAAGAAAAAAAAGCCATCGATATTCATTGGTCTTGTTCTCTTAGTACTTTGTATCCACATCTTAACAGCAGAACCCCATCCTCACCCGGCCGAGCCCCCTCCCGGCACAAGTGCCCCCTTTTGACACCACTGATAACAAGCATGCTCCTATTGTCAGTGAAATTTAAAAAATAATTAAATACAAAACACAATCAGCATCAAGAGAATAAATGTTTGTTTAATTTTCAGCGTTTTTTAATATCAATCTCAGAAAGAAGGAATACTAAAGATAGAAAGAATACGTTATGATAATCTGCAATTACTGATACAACAAGAGATGCATATATATATTATTGATGGGCACTTTGGTCACGACGACATGATTTCGTTTCGAAAGAATGAAGTAAAGAAAAATAATTACTTTGGTTATATTGAAAGAAACGCATTGTTGCATAAAAATATGAACATCTACCTTATTCAATACTCCCTCCTTTACCAGTCCAAACACAATATCTACTGTACATATTAAGACGTTTCGTTGCAGTATTGCATATAAAAAAGATACACATTTGAAGCGCAAAGCATGGAAATAAATTGTATGTCCTTCGTTGAAGTACTGAACTATCCCTGTCAAAATATTTGGACATTGTTCAGCCTGCAATGTTTGAGTAGATTGTAGTCTAGGAATGGTCAAATTTGTCTACCAATATTGGATGTGCATCCCAATAACCATTTGTACTCTGCTGCTGGGCACACCATAAACCCTTAATTACCCGTAGCAGACTGCTAAATTAAGCAATCCCGGTACGGCCCATGATATTATAGTGAAACACATTTTGAAAGTGGTTGCTTTAGAATACTCAGCCAATATTTGCATTATTGAGTTTTTACAGATGTTTATCACTCAGATAGAGACCCTGTATTAAACATAGAGCTACAATTGGTTGCATCTCTTGGAAATTGAGGATGGTTTCAGAGTATACTTATGCTGGAGTCTACAAGAAATTAGTCCACTGCCTGAACTGTTTCTGTGTTGTGTGCCCAATCCCCTGAGAAAATAAAATACCCTCAACACTGAAAAGGAGGCATTCCTTTCATTTTTCTTCGGGGATTGTGCGCTTAGTTGGGGTGCTCTGTGTGGGATGAGTGTAAGGGAGGGGAACAAAGATGACTGAAGAAATAAATATATCTATCAAGGGACAGAATCTGGACAAACATGAAATGAGTTTTAAAGCCCCACTGTACTACTCATTGCTACTTACTCCCTCTATATAGAAAACAATGCCTAAGTGGTGCCAGTTGGTCCCCCATGATCCTCTTTTTCTTATGTAATTTGAGTGCTGAGTTGATGAGATGACCACCTGTCAGTGACCAGAAGGGTGGTCTAATCCCTCTTGGCCAAACTAGTGCAGACAGTCTTTAAAGCACAATGAAATCTTCCTCAACGAATTAAATCAATCATATATCCTTCAATCTATCATAGCTTTACAATCAATGGTAACGTACAAACTTATTCTATTATGACAAAGTACAATTCATAACGTCCTATCTGAGGGACGCAGTGTTTTTTCCACTGTAATATAGCCTGCATCTAAGAAAAGGGGGGGGGGCACGTTAACACACAAAGCAGGCTTCAGTCATCTGCCTGGGTTGAATTCGAACCCATGATCTCTAATTACGACAGGCAGACACTTTACCGACTGAGCAAACTCCCCTAATTACAATATATCTACATTTGTAACTTTTACCAAAAATATACACAACATAAGCTACTTACATTTGTATATATTGCATGCACTATTTCTTAATCTTATGTGTCAACAGTTAATAAGAAAGAAAAAAAATGAAATGTCCATATTTTTTTAAGTTCACACACAAGATCACAAGGCATTATTTTGTCCCAACAAGATATTGACAAAAACTTAGAGCAATGAATAAATAGTTTAAAGTCCATCCAGTGGAAAGAAAATGTTTAGGTTAACCCTGTCCTCATTTCTAAAGAAAATAAGCTTAAATTTACACTCAAAAATTAATCCTACTATTTCTAAATTATTAATATTCCCAAAGACATTCAGTACCAGTAAACAGATTTATAAAGGCAGTTCAGGTTTTTCAATTACATCAAATACAATTTCGATCATGTGAAAAAATGAGGGAAAAAAACATATTCATGCATAAACAGACACTCCCTATAACTTAAGAACTTAACACAGAAGAACATACCATGAATAAATACATCTATTATTGAACTTACTCAATCATTGTCAGACAATGTAGCTTATATTTTTGTTATCTCAAGGTAGTATTAATCTGTACAGCTGCAGTGACATATTAAAGATTACTGTAAGAACATCTGCTCATATTGCAGCAGCTTGCATCTTTTTCATACTTATAGCAACATTTAAATAGAAATAACTATAATTTATAATGTCTAAATTACAATATTACAATTACATGTATTTACATTCTTTTATCTTTCAAAGTGTGATGCATTTTTCAGTTCTTGCATCAAAATGATTTCATCTTCGACTTTTGAATGCATGTACAGAGCTAACACCTCTCTTAACTAGCTTTGAATAGAGTAATAAATGACTCCAAGACTTCACTTAATCCCATCTATAGGAATCAATGAAATTACACTAAAGAATACTATTAGTTGTTTTCACCAAATACATGATTAAGACCTAGATAAATATTTTCTTCAATTGCTGCCTTACAGCAATGCTTAGATTTTCAGCCATATTCCAGCCATATTTCAGGTTATGTTTTTGACAAAGGAAACTACAGGGAAGAACTTTGGTCCTATTTCAGCAAAAAAAGGAATTTACCTATGTGAGAGAAATTCTAAAATCATTTCTCTTCATAGGGGGGAATTCGAATACGATTAATGTCGTGGAACCTAGTTATAAAGTACACTTTCAAAACAAACTCTCTTTATAACAAAGTATCATTGCCGATCCACTTCTTAGAAGTTACAAGACATGAATCTACATTAGTCACTCTCCACCCAGGTGAATAAATGGGCACCCGGTAGGATGAAATTTCTTAAAGGCTTGTGCGCCTTATCATGAAAGCTGTGCCAAAGCCGGAGTGATTGCAGGGCCCTCAGTTAACGTTATCATAATCTACTGTTCTTAAGCCCTGATATAACAAGGTTTCAGTATATTAGCTACCTGGGTCCCTCAGAGTCCATTATAACAAGGATCTAATGTAGTTTAAAAATAGTCCAACAATATTGCTAATGCTTCATCTGTTCAACCTGTTAACTCTTACACTGCCATGAGACTGCTAGCGCGCTATTGTTATAGTGCCATGTGCACGCGAGCGTGCTATCGATTGAAAGCCACGTTCATGCTAGCGAGCCACCGCTACGGTGCTTTGTGCGCGCTAGCGCGCAGATGTAATAACAGTTATTGTTCATGCCCATTGCACCGTGTTGAGTGCTTTTGCAGCGCTATTGAAAGTACCGTCGCGTGCATCAGATTATCGGCTTTGGATTACGCGTCTTTGTATACAACAGTCAGATTGGATTTTCTCGAGTAATTTAGAGATTTGTTTTTGATATCATATATCATCATTATGCCTCCCCATCGCATTGGATTGGTTCGAAAGCTCACTGATAGTGCTTATTTACTTCAGCAAAATTACAAATTCATGAAATGATATTGGTATCAATGGAAAAAGGGTGAAATTTCCTACAACTCTCATGTACAATGTTTGTTTATACAACATACGAATGAGAAGTTATAGTGGATCAAACATAGTAAAGATTTTAAAAACACGCACTTGAACCAACCCTAAAATTAACTTGGCACGCAGGGGCTTTGTTGCTGGCACAATAGAGATTAGCACTGTGGCACTGGGTGCATTGTATGGGTGGCAGCTTAAGAGTTAACTACTGCATTCATTGATTGCCATAGGCTTAATACAAAGGACCACCGGGTTCCAGTAGGTTATGGGTTAAGCATGTGACAGCTTGGACTGAAGTCTATTTAAAATGCATCTGATACTCAAATCACATCGTTACTACCAGATGAACCCATTGCATACTATTATTGGAAGGTTCCTGTTTTAGATCAATGAGGAGAATAAGAATTCAGTAGTCATAGTCATCATGTTAACAGAAGTTTTCTCCTGACCTAGAATACGACTAGATAATGAGATCTTCAAAGAATCTTTCCATCACTCGCGAATGATGCCCTTCCCTTTGGACCCTAACATGACCTTCGTCGAACTCCTGACCACCCGACCTGTGTTGACCCCTGCTCCTGCTGCGACGGTAGTCCCTCCGCTGGTGCTGATGCTGGGAGAACTCCTGGTTGTCATGGTGATGCGAAGGATGCTGATGATGATGGTGGCGCCGAGACGAGGAGTTGTGCTGATGCCTACTACCAGATTGATGATGATGATGATGGTAACCATGGTGATGCCTGCGGTGTCGATGACTTTCCTGAGAAACAGCAGCTGAATGGGTAATAGAGTTGTTGTTGTTGTTGGAGGAAGTGTTAGTTTGAGACGAGGAATGTGCGAAGAGGACGAAGCTGTGACCACGAGGGCGTTTGTAGCAGCGACGAGCGCTTGATGAGTGATGGACGCAGCTCTGACAGAACACTCGGGTGCAGTGCTTACAACGGACGTAAACAGCACTGGCCGCCAGAGATGAGCAGTTGAACACTGAACATTTCGCTTCCAAGTTTGATCTGATGAGAAAAAGGTTTTAAAAGTTTTTTTTCTTTAAAAATCATCATTTGACAAACATGAAAATGTCAGAGAGAATTTGAGAAAAATACTTAACTAAGGAAATACCTAAATATTACATGTAGCAGAACAAAACAGAGGGAATTTTGATAAGCTTTTGCCTGTAGTTGAGAAGTCAATAAATCACTTCTAATTTTTTTTAAAAATGAAACGACAACCTTCAACCCTACGGTTGATAGAGAAATGTCAATCTTTTTGTTCACAACATCACTTTTTTATCACTGTCCTTTTTTTTCCTTTTCTTTTTACATTCATTAAGTGAATGAAACTTACTGTAAAAACTGCAACTGTACTTAAGGGGGGGGGGGGATTATAATAGTACCTACATGTATTTCCAACCCCCTGACAGGAATATTTGATGTTTTCGAAAATGTTTTCAACTGTTGCTATCAAATCTCATGAGTGACGTTGTGAACACGCAGAGTTTCAAAATTATTTTCCCCGAGACAAACTACAACACGTAATCGACTAAAGTTTGCTAACATAACAAAGAATGGGATGAAAGTCATTTCTATTACTTTATAATCACAACTGAAAATTAAATGAATTCCTAGTGGTGAGCAACAGATGATTGAAGACTACAAATCACATGGTTGGGAGTAAAGTTTATCATTATCAATGACGAGTAAAACAACTCTGCACTAAGTATTAGAAGAGTCCATTTTGAAAACAGCATATACTGCAACCACAAGCTAGGTGTAATATTCTAAATATGTCCCTACCTCGGATGAATGTGACCAGTAGGGGGCAGTATGCATCCTGTCTCCGCTGTATTTTCTTGGCTTTCGTCTGGATTCCTTGTTGTAACTTCATCTGAAACAAGGAAACATAAAATTCTTCATCAAAACGAGGAAGAAGGAATTTTTTACACAACTTTTTTTCCTGTCGCAGTACAGGTTTATTGCAGTAGAAAAGTAATATCATAAGTGCCATTTTGTGTGGTCTTCTCAACCACTACCAAGTTCTTAACCGATTGCTGATGGGATCAGTTTGGTCTCTGTATCAAGTCTATGGGAATCACAGAATTCAGTAATTGTCAGTTGATACTTGTAAAAGCTTCTTCAAAATAGTCTTTTTTGGGGTTAAAAGCAATTCTAGTTGTTTCATCACTGAAGTTCGTTCTGTTTCATTTGAAAGAACAATTTAGAGTATAAACAAAGAGTATTTATATTTCTCAGGTCATCTCCTTGTGTGATAAAAGATGACATACTAATAAATATTAAGTCTGTTACACTCTTAGGTGTTTCTACTCATTTAAATTCTATAAATACCCATAGGCTAAATACTTGTGACACATGTATGACACCAGTACAGCACGAAAGAGTTCCTTATTAAAGACATATAAAAGTGGAGCCTCGTGGGGAATTTGACACTGTTCGGGTGTTAACATAATAACAGGTGTTGTCAATCACTGGGATTAGCATTCAGATTTTATGACCAACAAGCTTTTATATATGTAATGCTCTGTTATTTCCCCTTCGGGTAAAGTCCTTATCTGACATGTGTACCACTCTCCGAGAGACGAGGGGGTATTTATTGAGTGGACTACGAGTTTGCTGTGTGCAGACTTGTATACCAATTAATGGTATTTCCACTAAGTCTGACTTCGGCGAACTTTAACTTCTGCGCATGGAAACTGCTGACCCACCCACTTCAAGAGACTATTACATCTGTTTGGAGCCAGAAGGCCTCTAACTCTCTGTGAAAGGATACGCGATAACACCCTTCTGGCTCCAAGCAGATGACTAAATCTTTAATCCTCTGTTTCTCTTGTATTTCTGCATCTATTAACAGCAAATTATTGTTGGAGTGGACTTAGCCTTTAAGTACTGTGCGAAATCGCATGAGATTCAAGCCTATTTTTAGAAGCCTCCCATTGAATGTTTCTTCAAGCAACATAAATAAGGAAACTAGACATAAGTGTGATGTCCTGGATTCCTGAAATAATATATCCTTGAAAGCTTTTCAACAATGAGGAATTATCTTTCAGTTTTTATACCATGGGTGTACTATAAGTGGATGGGTGATGGAAAGTGAAAAAATAAATCATGTTCAGCAAAATAATGATGACAAATAAAATATATCATGATGAGCAAAAAATTAATTATGATTAGCAAAATCAATCATGCACACATTTATTTACCAGCTTTTTGTTTTCAATTTTTTTCTTAAAATATTGGAACTCCGCCAAAAGAAATTAAAAGTCATCACTAAATATATTGAAATGAAATTTGAACATCATTGAGACTAACTTTATAAACACATAAAAGAAGAATGTTATTTTGCTATTAAGTGGGCAAGTTGACTACATCACTGGCTTTCATATATATCTGATAATTGTATCAATGCAATTTGGTAGCCCCAATAAAACTCTCCATAAACTAAAGGTAAGTCTAACAAATTTTGTCCCATGAATAAGAACTACATTAACAATTTTCATATGTCTGATATCAAGTTAAGAGCCATAATATTACTTAGATACAATAAAAGTTTCAAAGATTATTTCACTTTTTATATTCATGATGTTCATAATTCCATTATAATTGGTAACAAACATTTTTGGGACTCAAATTTCCTAATAACTTGGACCCAGGTACAAATGTATAAACAATACAGAAGTGTGGTCATGAGATTATGTTTTTTTTTATTGCAAGATGTATTTGACATTTTGTATTGTATTTACTTCGAGAGTTACGGCCCACAAGGTTTTAACATAGTTTTTTAGTAATAATAATAATAATAACTTTTACTTATATAGCGCTTTTCATAAAACATTTATATCAAAGCGCTTTACGATATTGATACAATTAAAACTTAACAGAGTAATGACAAGAAAACAAATGAATGAAAGTGAAATTATGAAACATAAGATAACAAGGTAAGGTAACAATATAAGAACTAGGTAACAATTTAAGAACTAGGTAACAATTTAAAAGCTAGGTAGAATATGCATTTTCCATTAGGTAGGTTTTTAATTTGGATCGAAACAAAGTAATATCAGAGATGGAACGAATGGAGGCTGGGAGAGAATTCCACAGACGTGGAGCAGAGCATGAAAAGGACCTATCACCAAAGTATTTTGTTTTTGCTTTTTTAACGGTCAAGAGAGTTTGATTTGCAGAACGAAGGGGCCTATTGGGTGTGTATAATTGAATCAGTTCAGAAAGATAATTTGGGGCATGACCATGAAGAGACTTGAAGGTTAAAAGAAGAACTTTGAACTGGATGCGAAATTGAATGGGGAGCCAATGCAATTGTTTAAGGGTTGGTGTAATATGGTCATGTTTTTTGGTGAGAGACACTAGACGTGCTGCAGAGTTCTGGATTCTTTGCAGCTTGGCCATATCTTTTTCCGGAATTCCATGGAGCAAGCTATTACAACTGTCAAGGAGTGAACTGATAAATGCGTGGACGAGGATTTCAGTGGATGACTTGGAAAGGAATTTACGAATTTTACCAATTTTTCTCAGGGCGAAGGATGCTTTACGACAGATACTATTTACATGGGGGCGCATTGAAAGGTTTTGGTCAAATGTGACACCTAAGTTAACAACTGTTTTGGAGGAATTTACAGAACCATTTGTTATTTGAATCGGAGGGACTTCTATTGTATTTCTTCTTCGGTGAGAAAACAGGTGGAGCACTTCCATCTTGTTGTCGTTCAAGAGAAGAAAGTTTTCAGTCAACCAGGAGCAAATGGCATGTAGACAATCTTCCAGTTTCTGCAACATTTGAAGAATTTGTCCAGACTTAACAGTAATATATAGTTGGGTGTCGTCGGCATATATCATCGAGGAGAAACCGTGGGAATGAATGATGTCCTCTAAGGGTGTCGAATAACATGTAAAAAGTACAGGGCCGACGACGGAGCCTTGTGGCACCCCCCACCTAAGCAGAGTAGGATCGGATCGTGAGCCATCGATGATCACTTGTTGGTATCGTCCAGTGATGTAAGATTTAAACCACTTGGTAGCAGTTCCAGAGACGCCAAAACGTGTTTCCAACCTGGATATAAGAACACGGTGATCGACAGTGTCGAAAGCTGATGTTAAGTCTAACAGTATGAGAATCGCATCATCTCCAGTATCCAAAGCACGAAGTATATCGTCTTGGACTCGAAGTAACGCAGTTTCCACGCTGTGATTTTTACGATAGGCAGACTGTCGGGATGCGAGAAGGGAATTTGCAGTAAGGTATTCAGTAAATTGATTTGAGACTACTCGTTCTACTACCTTGCCCAAAAATGGCAAATTTGAGATTGGTCTAAAGTTTCTCAAATTTTCTGCATCCAAAGATGGTCGTTTTAGGGTGGGATGAATCAAAGCAGACTTGAGTGCTGAAGGGAAAACTCCACATTCTAGCGAGTCGTTGGTTATGTCCGTGATGGCCGGAACCAGAAGCTCTATACATTGGCTAAGAATGGGTGCTGGTAGGGGATCTAAGTCACATGATTTCATTTTATGTGACTTGATGATCTTCAGTACATCTGCTTGGGAAACTGGCGCAAACTTATCAAGATGATGGTCACTGACTTCCACTTCAGCGATGTTGGAAGACGAAGTAAATGAAGATCTCAATAGATGAATTTATTGTCAAAAAACTTTGAGAACTTCTGAGTGATTTCAGCACTGGACTGATATGAGGGCAGTGATTTAGAAGGCTTTTCAGCTGTCATCCTGTCAATCACATTAAACAGTTGTTTGCTGTTGCTAGTGGATATGAGTTCGTGGAGATGCTGACTCCTAAAGCTATTGACTAGCTGGTTATATTCTCTCGTTGCTTTCTTCAGATCATCAGATACTACTGTTGTAGATGAGCACCTGGTCTTTTTCCAACGCCTTTCCCTTGCACGAAGAGCTTGTTTAGCCTTCCGGATTTCATGGTTGTACCAAGGAGCATAGGGACGCAGTTTCACTTTCCTTTGCTTGATTGGTGCGTGACGATCAAGATTTGACGCAAGAGAGTTATTGAAAACATCTACCTTCTGGTCAATGTCCATTTCTTCCAGTTTAGTAACTGCTTCAAAGGACTGGGTAATATCTAACTTGAATTGATCAATATCGAGTTCACGTAACTTATGAGCATGAACGATTTTAGTCGTTATTGGTGGTCTCATGAAGGGGAGTGAAAAGATGATCGCCGAGTGATCAGATGGCAAAGTCTGAGTTACCACAATGTCCCTGATTGACTGATCAGTTTCTCTCATGATGACCAGGTCAAGAGTGTGTCCTTTAATATGAGTAGGCTGGGATATGAGTTGACTCAAACCAGCCGACTCCAGTAGATCTTTAAAGTTATTTGCATCTGCATTTGTTTTATTGTCAACGTGAATGTTGAAATCCCCTAAAATAACCACCTGATTTATGAGCAAGTTGACCGATTCTAGCAGTTCTGAGAACTCCACCAGGAAACGTCCAAATGACTGGCCCCGCGAGCATGATGGAGGTCTATAGATTACAAAGAGTGAAAGGCTTCTTTGATCATTGGACTGGCCAGAGCGTAGAGTTACCTCAAGGCATTCAAATGTGTCAAACACATGTGGCTTCATTTTTGGAGAGAAGGAATTTCGCAAAATTACACAGAGACCACCACCTCTCTTTCCTTTTCGGGGTAGTTTTAGGAGTTTGAAGTCCTGAAGTGTATTCTGTATGTCTGCAATTGTAGGACCGTCCCTGCCATCGCCTCTGAGCCAAGACTCTGTGACAGCTAGGACGTCAAGACATTCCGAGATGATAAAGTCACAAACTTCAGTTTCTTTATTCATCAGGGATCGAGCGTTCCAAAGTCCCACTCTTGTTAGAGAAATCTTGTTCCCCTGGAGACTAGTGGCTGCTGGGATTTTCCTGAGGTGCTGTGATGGGTGTTTGCTCAGGGGGGCAGATGCACGTGGTGCCCTGGACGTGATGACCACAGGAATGTTAATTTCATGGGGCCTTGCTACATGAGCAGATTGAGGCATGATCAAGGATGAGTTCAAGTTCTGACGAGGCTTACCTCCCCGTCTTTTACGACGAGTTCTCTTCCGTTTCAATGACCTTCCCTCATCGTGTTGCGAGATTCCAAGTTCTTGTATGAGGCTTCTGACATTTGTAGGAAGCGTGGCATGTGTCATGATCCATGATGTCTGGTTAATAGACTTCATGTACCCAGGGTCATAGTGATGAATAACGTTTGAACGGGTAGGTGTGCTAGTAGATATGTTCTCATCCACAGATCCATCATGTTCATTTGGGCCAGGATTTGGACACACATCCCCACATTTCATAAGCTGGAGATGAAAAGATGATGATGCGTTAGCGTAGTATGGGATTGGGAGTCCAGAAAACTTCCTCAATAAAGTGGGATAGTTTGAAAATGTCTGGAGATCCTTGTACATGTATGTATGTGTAATACATGACAGTTGAAAGTTTGGTAGAGAGTGGCTACATACCAGTACAATAAGATGAATAGATAACAGCTTAAGTAGCTCCATTGTCCCATAGAAATGTAGGACACACAGTCAATAGAACAAGTTCAAAGGCTGACTGACCATGATGAATAAGTAGCCACAGCAGAGGCTCTTATCATGGCTGACCGTAGCAAGCTCATGCACACTTCAATACAAACTGGGTGAAATTTCTCTCTCTCTAACTGAAAGAAAACTGCAGCAAGAATCCGTTCAAAACTTTGCCAAAACAGTCCAGGTTGCTTGATTAGTACAATGATAACTTCAAGTTAACATAAGAAGGTCAAGAACATAGGTAAATAATGCAAAATTCAGAGAGCTGAAAAGAGAGCAGCCTGTTTGGGCTCTCGATCTCATGAAGTATTTTTCTTTTATCATATATCATTTTCCTTTTATCGTAGAGGTGTCGTGGTCGAGTGAATATGTCACTTGACTGTCGATCACAAGGTCCGTGGTTCGAGTCCCGCCATGGCACTAATGTCCTTTGTCATGACATTGATCTAAATTTGCCACACTCAACCCAGGTGATGGAAATGGGTACCTGGTAGGAATTAATTCCTTGAAATGCTAGAGCGCCGTAATGGCCGCCTTGCTAAAGCCAGGGTAATAATCAAGCAGCGCCAGGAGCGTCACAAAACGACATGTGCGCTATATAAGAAGCCACCATTATTATTATACACGAACATGAACATGTGCATTTGTATAATTAAACTATAACATTGTCATTGTTTTTTGTTAATTGATTGAGAAGAATGAAATGAACCATTGAGCCATTGTATGACATAGAGAGATTATCAATGAATATGTGATGAAAGTCTACCCACCAGAAGACGAGGGGGCTTCCTGGATCTCTCCTCCAACAGCACCATCCTCGGCAGCATCTCCTGAACCCTGTCCTCTCTCCATCTCGGCGACAACCTCTCGAACAGACACCCTGACGGACGTCTCTCCCGCTTCGTGCACGCCGGAATCTCTTCTTCCTTCCTGGCATGATGGGGAGGGGTTGGCGTTTGGCGACGACCAGCCTCCACGATTGGACCAAGCGGACCTCAGAGGAAGGTCAAGTTCGAGGTCACTGACATCGCTGAAGTCAGGGCTGGCAGCAGAGGAGGAAGAGGTGTCGCTGCTTGCATCACTCACGTCTTGAAAGGCGTCTGTAGACAATACAAAAAAGATGCATACACTAATATCTTGATGTTGGAACACTCTACAATGTTGCTTACTTATAACAGCTTGAAAGATTCATCCTTTTACAAAAAAGCATTATTCTGTCAAATGATGAACTTATCCATGGTCTGAAATTTCAGCAAACTGCCTTTTCTCATCCTGAGAGCTGTCTCAGCGCAGTGTTTTCCATTCATAGCAGCACCGTACCATTTTACTAATAAAGTCACAATTTATATAACAGTCATGAAAGTCAGATATTAGGTAATAAAAAAGTAATAATCCTGCTAACTTTGGGTATTGATATGAAAGCTTAACAAGAGCAGGGTGTATAGTAGATGATTCACATAAAATATAACACCTTTTTTTGTTGTTTACAAAGTAAAAGTGAAGAACTTGGGACAAATTATGCTGTTTTATTGTTTCATATTGCTTTGTTTTGTTTTGTATTGTGTTATGTTCTGTTGTATTGTGTTGTGCTGGGTCGTTTTGTGTTTTGTTTTGTTTCTTTAAACAAACAAAAAAATTCTTGTAGAAATTGAGTTCTCTTGGATTCTATGACTATCAAAGAGATCATATATTAGTTTCTTAAAATTAGTGCATAAAAGTCTTGAAGATTCCACTACTTCATACAAAACAAAAGGAAGAATATAAATACAGGATTTGGAAGAACTGTGATAAATATTTTTTGCAAATGAAATCCAAACCACTACGGTATATCAATAATGTGGTTAAGCGATAGAGAGTGTAAGATCCTTGAAATAAATCATAATATATTCAAGAAGTTTCACATTGTAATAAAATTAACCAACCCCGGATGTTGTTTAAAAGGCAGGTCCATCCTGTATCAAAGTTTTTAATAGTGGATAGATGAGAGTCAAATCAGTGAAAATTGAGGAAAATCTCTGTGATTTCTCTTGTAATCATGCTTCCCCTTTTGTGTAGTAAACATTTCAGAAATTTCAATTGTTGTCCAAAGAAAATGTATCATCACACATGTAGCTGTGCCTTTGATATACATGTAGGACACACATTTTTACACATTCCCTTTTATAATGTACAAATGTATCCTGCCTGTGAGACTCTTAATCTACCGGGTTGAGGTGACTCAAGTAGGACTTTTGCGGTCACAGAAACCCCATAGAATTAACTTGTCTCTTGAATAAAGATAATGTATACAGTAAGTGTTTTACATCTTCAAAGAAATAAAACAACAACATTTGACAAAGGACATACATCTTGCTTGATCTACGTATCAAAGAAAATACCAGTTTCTAATATTAGCTCTATCTTTGTCTAGAAGACTAGGGCCACGAAACACAAAGCTCAGCTATTGATCGTACAATTGATTTTAGTGATTGATTGCCCATAGTGAATAATGCAATCAATCACCAAAATAAATCAACTGCTAAGCTTTGTTTTACAGAGCCTAGATCTAGATCTGATTATAGCTGATTCACACCGTTTGAATTTAAATAGTGAACGTACAAAGCATTCTATCTCCGAAGGAAATTTAAAAAATTCAATATCAGAAAGGAGACTCTTCTCTTCTTCTATGATCTTCTATGGTCTCACCTCTCAAAATAAAATGCAACTGATGAGGGTAATGAAAACTACAAGTAAGGTAACTAAATTGGCTTATCGGTTAAACAACTCGAAGAGATAGCTGAATCAGGGAAAAGTTTAATCACATCACTGAGGATGAAACTCATCCTCTACATATATGCATATTGTTTTCAACAAATCAAGGCGTGTCCGGCTACTGAATGTCAAAACAAATAGATTTAGGGGGTCATTTCTCATACGAGCCATGACATTGTACAATGACAGGTTCAGGAGGTAATTACTCTGGGTGCACTCATCCACATGTATGTTTATGTTAGGCCCAGGCGCGTACGCAGGATTTTTTCAAGGGGGGGGGGGGGGGTTTAACATTTATAAATCGGGCTGAAAATTTACACACAAAAAATTACCAAAGGGGGGTTTAACCCCCCAAACCTTCCCCCCCCCCCCCCCCCCCCCTGTGTACGCGCCTGGTTAGGCCTATACATACTCATTTTAAATTGTGTGTTGTATTTATTCCTGATTTTGTATAAATTGATTGCATGTTAAGGCGAGGCGTCAAAAATAAATATACCAGCCAGCGGCAGCTAACTGCACTTGTGCGTCCTGGCTGCATTTTTTAAATTAGCTCAGCCGGCTACCGCTGGCGGTAGGACCCTCAATTAACTCATGATGTCATCATAATGGTCTCCGAACAAAAGCATGCGCCGGCTGCCGCCTTTCGAATGGAAACCGAGCCTCAGATCCCAGCCTGGCGCAAGCCGGCTGGGCTAATAAGTGAAAAATAATTGCCCCAGCCAGGCTTCGGCCGTAATTGCAGCCTCGATGCGCCAATACGTGAGGCGGCAGCCTGCTGGTATCGATATTTTTGACGCCTCGCCTAATTAATGTTATATATATTTGCAGCAACAGCTGGAAGGTGACTTTTATGCCACGTTATTTTGTGCATGAATTGAATTGAATTAAATTCTATCAATTTTACTTTCTCTTTTAAATCTCCATGATCATTCGACTAGAAAAGTGTTTTCTTCTATTCTATAGATCACACAGTTAAAGCCTATCTGCACTAGATTCAACAAAAGGGATTAGACCTCCCTGCATGATATGACAGGTGATTATCTCATCAAATCAGCTCTCAATTAACGTAAGAAAAAGGGAACCATGGGGGACCAACGGTCACCGATTAGGCATTGTTTGCTATATAGAGGGTGCAAGCAGCTATAAGTAGTGCAGGGGGGCTTTAAAAGAACCAACCTTCTTCATTTTGGCTTGTGTCTCTCTCTCCGGGCCTGCGTCTTCCACTGTGTACATACAGGTCACACCTTCCGCGGGTGCCGTCACCATGGCATTGACATAGAGGGAGCACTTGACACACGGATGGGTCGATCTCATCTAGGTCTCCCACACTGTCAAAGATGATCACATCTGGTCTCTGCAGTCTCTGCCTAGGTCTACTGAATATCAAATTAAAAAGAATATTCTCAAAATATTTAATTGTTTGTAATGCATTAAAGGGACTTGGTAACATTGTTCAGATGAGAGAAAATGGTGCTAAGATAGTGACTTCAATGTTAAATGTACAATTAAAGATAATCTGACAGTCTTAGTGAAATTATAGAAATTGGGAAAAAATGATCTGATCGATTCCTTAATTCTCCCAATTATATTATTAGAATTTATTTACATTTTAGGTGAATGTAAATCGTCACAAAGCATCAAAATGGCTCTACATTCCATTACAGATATTTAAGTGTTGACAGATTTTTTATAGCCTGTTTTATGTCTTATTTTCAATGAAAAACGGTTGGGAAAATTCAAAAATGGTCAGCAGAATTTACTGTGAATCACTGTTAGAGGGAGTTTGTGGTTTGAGAATTTTCTCAGGATTTTTTTACTGTTAGAGGGTAAGTACAGTAGAAGGAATATAATAAGTAACATTTCATACAAAAATTACATATTTTTCATCAACCTTCAACAATGTTACCAAGTCAATTTAGAGTGAAAGTCTTACAATAGTTTCCTTTTCACATGATTTGTAAGCTAAAAAGAAACACACACAAATACAAAATGAGAAACATTGTCATTGAATATTCCTTGTTAGAGCGAGACGCAGAAACTTTATCTGGGCCAACAAAGGGCAACCACAACTTTATGTTAATATCCAGTCTTGCTAATATATTGTAAACCCTTCTCTCTCTTCAAATATTTACGTTTAGGAATGACTTACTTTATATAAGATTATGAGTCTAATATGATGTTTTTTTTATTTAATTTTTGTTTTAATGTAATGATGTACTCGATATTTTTTATCAGATTTCACTGAAAATATCTTACACATTAACAGCCATAAAATTTTCAGTCAAGAGGTACTTTTGGGGTCGGGGTTTGAAGGATCGCTATGTCATACTATTATATTATGTAGATACCGGTATACAGATCTGCATTTGCATTATACAGCAAGATTGTGACATTTTGTGATGATTAATTTCTTGCTACACAAACTGTTTAAAACTTTTCCAAAAATACAAATTCTCCTCTTTCACTTTTCTAAGTTCATTAGATAACAAATGCAGTAAGATTGATAGCGATACCACTCATCTTTCAGACATAAAGAGCCAGGGAGTTGAAATGTGAAACCAAAGTCATCAATAACTGTAAATCTAGTCACGCGACCACCGCAAAAATTACGAAATTATGATAAAGGAACTGAACTAGTTTTCAAGGGTTATTATTGTCGATACTAGTTAAAAATCAAAACAGAAAGCAATACTTTTTTTCCTAACAGGAAAGTAACGGCCCTGGAATTGCAAATTAAATATCTTTCTTTCCTGTCTGATTGGCGAACTTGCAACAGTATCATGTTACTATTCAAAGCTTAAATTGCACTGTATCTATATCATAGCGTCGGAAAGTTAGTTTACATATCATTCACTACCAAATACAATGAATCCAAAACAAGTTATAGTTGTTAGCAAAGATGGTCATGAAAATAAGGGTGAGATAGTCATTGGAATATAATATTAAAAATGTCCAAGTTAGACCCCTGATTTGACATACATGTATGTGTGTGGTTAATTAAAGTTCATGTTGTTTATGTATATCCCCTGGAAAATGGGTTCAATAATATATATCTCTTTACCCTTTGCCAACAAATACAAAATAATATTTTTTCTTCAATTCCTTGGCCCAAGGCCAATGGTCTTACCAAAACGGTCAAAGCATTAAAAAAATGTCTTCCTAGTAAGAACTGGCTCACATGAGTCCAACAATTCCTTTATACAGGGTAACAAGAAAAAAACCTCAATAAAATGTTATTATTCTGGAATCCTATGAATTAATTTCGAGCAAGAAAACTACATTTTAACTAGAAAGCAACACATCGACATGTGACAACATACTGTATGCTATTAGTGGAAACACTTACCATATTAAGGGCAGATAACTTTCAAGAATTTGAGAAAAAAAAGTCAGTGTTTTGTTTGTTTCATCACTTTGTGGTATAAGAGTAAGACAAAAAAAGTTTCTGCGTATACCTTTTACAATACAAATTTCCTTTAGACATTATAGTAACCTTTCAAGGTTAAACATATATTCTTTGTTTTCCTTTTTTTTTTCTTCTTAAAAAAAATCTTTTCCCGTCGTAAAGAAAAACCTCTTTCATTTAAAAAGAAATTATAAAAGAAAATAAAGTGAAATAGACTTGCACTGTTAGTGCTAATAATGAAACGATTACCAATGATAAACAGGATATTACTAAGTGTGAATTAGTTTGGAAAATATCTTCATAAGTTCATTGTGTATAAGCTGAACACAATATCTCATGACCTGATATTGATGTTTATATGACGTTGGAAAGTAAGTGTCATGTGATTTTTAGATCATGTGGCTCGTATATATATCTGTCCCATTGCCAGCAGAGTTTTGGGCATGAAGGAAGACGGAACAAGAAGTTAAAAAATTGCACATCATATCCTTGAATGGTTTTAGTACATGCATGATGTATGTTTCCCCTTTAAGAGTAAAGTGCCTTTTCATCATGTAAATAAAGCAGTAAACAAAACAAAGGATAATGATTTGCAGTAACCCAATATAACTTTTAGTCAAACCCAGGATGAGACTACATTTAATTTATTCTATCAAAGGTTGTTTACAATTTGGTTGTACTTGGTAATCTTCATTAATTTCATTTTTCCTTTTGATTTAGAGGTCTGACAAATATATTTTAATATTTGAAAGTGAAAGTGATTCTTAATTAACTGAAGTGGTAGCTGATTAATTGATCCGATAATGATTCAATGAGTTTTTTGAAGGTTGTGTGCACGCCCAACAGGAGAGAGAGGGAAGTCCAGATCTTTTTCCCATAGATGTGTTTAACCATGCACACTAAACTTCATTTCCTCATTTAAAGATTTTAAAGCTGTGTGCAGCGGTAATCTCCAATGTTTAAGACTTTAACATTTCATACACTTTAACATTTAGCTTAAAGGTAAAGACCAGTATTGGAAACGCCCCAATTTCAAAAAATGAAATGGAAGCTCTCATTACCAATCATGTGAAAGAATATGTTTTGACTAATACATGATGATAAAAAATTTGCCGGGAAACCGCCTACTAATTCATATATTTGGTAAATTTGTTTCTCTCATGGTCTGTGAGAGATATAGGGTAGTCCCATATACATCTTTCTGTGTATAGTGCTTGTAACTTTACGAAGAATGGGCCAAATTTCTTATCATTTTGATGATTCCAGAACCTTGCAGATGCTAGATGCTAGATGATCAACCTTTTCTGATCGATTTCATAACGTTTCTTTCACAATGCAATCGCATGACCATAACTGGTCTTTACCTTTAAGTATGTAAACTGGTTGTACCCAAACCAATGTAGAAATTCAGAGCGCTGATGTCATTTACAGCAAGGTATGATACAAGGAAATACCATATTCTGTATGTAGTATATAAACTGCATCTTACATTTTCACACATGTGAACGATTATACAGATAGATGGAGGGCTTAGGTGTCAATGTGCAAGATGATATCGATGGTGTGACTTCCTTTAATAGTAACATTGATTTACAGAATATAATTCCTCTTGTAGCACTTAAAATACTTTAGGAAGTTTTGCTAAGCTAGACTTACATGTATTGCTGTATTGGAAAGGGAGAGTGAGTGGGAGCAAAGATCACAGGGAAATGAATTTGATCTACAAATTCTATTTAAATTAATTACAGATGGGTTCAAATTCCATTGTCATACTTCCTGAAAAAAACAGGTTTGTTTTCAAGCAGGGCCTTTACAAATTTGGGAGAAAAGAATCATTGTACAATTTTTCATGTAGTTCATTACGAGTACCTCTTTTTCACTTAGTCAGAATTCAGCACTATCAAAGTACTAGCCAGCACAGGATATTGGGAATTTGTTTTTTACTTCTACAGCACAAATTTTGGTTGTGCAATGTCCTGTATTGTGCGTGCAAAGTCGTGCCATTTTGTGGCATGCAGCTCGGTCAGCAATGTAATTTGTGCCATGTTGTGAAACTATTTCACTTCATGACATCAGGAGCCCCCCACGGCACATTGATGCCAAAGTAAAGCTGTTCATGAAAATGGCACACAAAATTAATTGTGAAAATTTGTTGTCTTTTATTATCATTATCATCAATAACATCATCACTAATCATTATGAAAATCATCATTCTCATTGTCATTATTGTTATCCTGACCTCTTGCCAGCAGCATCATTACTAACCACACCATGCATTGGCTTCCAATGACTCTCAAATAGCCCATAGCATTCCTTAAATTCATCATCATCATCATCATCATAATTATCAGTATCATCACCATCATCATCGTCATAATTTTCATAATAATTATCCTCATCATCATAATTATCATCATCATCCTTATTATTCAAAATACCATACATTGGTTTCCTTACGACTCTAAAACAGCTCACATCATTCAATGCATTTACCTAGCTGAGGAATGTCTGCTATGTTGACCAGAAGCAGCGGTCATCTCGGGGTTGTGCCGTCGGATATCGGCCGCTTCTACCTCCTCACCACTAGGTCCAGAGTAGCTGGTCTCAGTGGCAGGTAGAGACTGGTCTTGCTGCTGGTGGTCCTGGTCCTGTAGGCCACCCCCACAAGGTTCACTGGGCTTGTGAGAAGCATTTTCTAATCGTTCAGGATCTGTTGTTGACAAATTGGAAATTAGAAGGAATATGTGAATATTGATTGGCCCACCAATGAGTCTGTTTCCGCAATTTTGTAAAATGTTTGGTGATGCTATTAAAAACAAAGCAAAATGTGTTGCCTATCCTTACCTATTTCTCATTACTTGTTCATTGTTCTATTTCTCCTCCTCCTCCTCTTCCTCCTCCTCCTCCTCCTCCTCCTCCCTCCCCCTCTCTTTCCCTTCCCTTCCCTTCCCTTTCCTTCCCCTCCCTCCTCCGCCACCTCCTCCTCCTCTTTCTTCTCCTTCTCCTCTTCCTCCTCTTTTCATAGTTCTCTTTCTCCTCCTCCTCCTTTTTCTTCCTACCTTGGCATTCCATGACAGCTCCATGTGTAGCTATGGCCTTTTGCAACTCCTGAGGTAGGTCACAAACAAGATTGTTCCTTGCACAAGGACTGAAGTCATGCTTGGGTAGCTCTGCTATGAACGTCTCTATATCACACTACATGATGGGGAAGAAACAATACTTTAAGTCCCACTGTAATACTTGTAGCTACTTGCTCACTCTATAAAAAATATAGAAAAACAATGCCTAATCGGTGACCATTGGTCCCCCATGATCCTCTTTTTCTTTTGTTAATTGAAAGCTGAGTTGATGAAATAGCCACCTGTCAGTGATTGCCCTTGGTGGTCTCATCCCTCCTAGCCAAGCAAGTACAGAGGGCCTTTAAATCAAACCTGGGTAGTACAGAGACATGGCCAAGTATATCACAACACTTTCTGTGATCTGTTTTGGCAGCAACCAACTGTACTTTACTTTGATGTGCCCCATTGTGAATGAAACATTGGAAGTGACTTTAATACTTGATGCTTAAATGTGCCATACGAGGTAGGTCAACAATATATACATGTATAATTCTGAGTCTGATAACAGCATTATTCAATATATCTACAAATAAGGACCAACACAAAAAAAGAGTGTACGTCCTGGTGATTGGGTGTCCCCCCCCCCCCCCTCCCCCTTTTGTGTTGGCTTATCTGCTAGCCTACAGTTATAGGCAGAGTCACATGAAAAAAACTTTGGGCTAATTAGCTTTCTACAATCAAGTGCCTTTTGGAGGATATATGTATATGAGTATACCAAGTTTTACGAACTATAAGAAACATCAGAGAAGGAATTTTGATTATGTGTTATCAAATAAATGTTCCAACAGAAAAGTTTGATAAGAAGCCAACATTAATATTTATCATTATTATCACTTATTTGGCAAAGACAAAATCAAGAAACAGTATCTACAAAACAACAGTCAGATATAAAATGAGTCACCTGAAGGTCTACTTTTCCAATCCATATGATTTTTCATAAATAAGTAGCACAGAATAGCAAGATACAACAAGTAATGAATTGCAAGTGTATTAAACTAGAGAAAAAGAAACAGAAAATTGCAAAGGACACAAATTCTGACCTGGAATATCGTTCTTCTTCTTTTTTTGTTTTGTTTCTCTTTTATCATATTTGGTTGAATAAAATGCATACTTTGACCAAATGTTTGCATAATTCCACCTTGTCCTCAAAGTATGTCTAAAATACTTTCCAGGTTTGTGTTGTTACCTAGTTAAACATTGATATTGAGGTTTAAGATAACATTATTCAACATCAATTTCATCGATGGCTAATTCTCAAAATATTAATATAACACAGGTCTTAGAAAAAACACATCTACTTGCATGCAAAAAATGGAATTAGAATCTGTATACCAAGTGGACTCATAAATACTAGTCTTCTTTTGGCCTGTGGAACTAAACCGAAGTACCTGCAGAAATATTATACTACCGTTATATCTTCAGTCATATCAAATATCAATATCTCAATGCCAACATAAGTTTATCACTAGCTATCTTATATTCCTACATTCCTATTTTAGAATAATAACTTCATACATAAAACTTATTGATACGCTCTCTCTTTTTCGTTGCCATTTTTCTTTGTACAGTTTGATAACACAGAGACATTTGTGAATTTCCCTGTACTGAAATTTCATATTTAGAACATAATGCAGTAGAGTTTCGTCTGCATTATACTTTTTCAGCTCACCATCGCTTACTGGCGGTATTGTCCTGATGAATTTACGTGTAATATCACCCATATCAGAAACGTGGTTTAAGCAATTATAACAATGGCACATTTTAAATTTTGTTTAATCACTTTTCCAGGTGTTGTTTAACGTTCACATTAATCCTGCATCAAACATTCTCAAGTTAGCATTTTGTTGAGTCATGGTCTAGTGGATACGCCATCAGACTGTTGATCAAATGGTTCGCAAATCATGTCCCAACCATGCCACTAACGTTGTTTGACCAGACATCTGCATTTGGGGCTCAGGAAGAAATGCCAATTGATGACTTTAGACATTTTGGCCATAGCATATTGAGAGAGACAGTGAAGGCAAGCACGGTCAAAGGTCAAACTAAAGAGCTCTGAATGGTTTCCTCCCCTGAAAAACTCTATGGGGGAACTATTTGGAGTCCAATACAATAACTGATCAATTAGGAGAAACTTTGGGTGATGCAACTATTTCTCTCAACTAGCTATGAGTTTGGCTAAAGCCAAGGTAATGGCATAATACTACGTAGGCACCTAGAGCATTCCCTGGCCTGCAATGACGTGTCCCGAGATTAATACTGGTATCACCATTATTATTAAATTCCAAAGCTTTGTGTACAAATTTTGTCTGACAGACACGCTTATCTCAGAAAAAAATCTTTTATTTGCCTCAATACCTTTAGAGAATCCATCTTGAGCACCACCTCGTAATCAGGACCCGAGACGAAGGATTGGCAAGCCATTTTGAGCTGCTCAACCCTGTCCATCAGTTCTCCAATTCTCCTATGAATGACACAGAAATAAATTCATATTTCATTTATTGAAAAATAGCTTTAAAGATATTTTGAAGCTTTTTATCTTGCACTTCAATAGCTGAATGAAATGCCAGAAGGTAAATTCAAACAATATAAATGGAACAAAGGGAACGAACTCCTCATGGAGGCGAGATGTTACTGCCACCTCTGTTTGCTAAATGTACATGTTTTGTGTTGTTTGGAACTCTTCAATTTTACGACTTAAGTAAAATGGCTGTAATTTTTTTTTTAATTGTAAGTTTACTTTTCATTATACTATCTGGACCCCAAGGAAGAACAGTTTTGTGATGTTAACAATTTTGAGTGGGCTATCCAGTCATTCACAATATTCTTGATTTGTATAAGTATTTTTCTTTTTTGTTTGTATTGATTTTTATATTGTGATTTGGAAGAAAAAAAACCATATCATACCATTTATTCATCATAGCCTTATAAACCGACTTATAACTTAGGCTGGCATTATGTTATTTCTTATTTGGGCAGCCAAGCGCAGCTGATCTCTCAAAATTACTTTGGGAGACCTTTGGGAGACTTTGGGATATTGCATCACAATGTTATGTGTGCTATATCAGAGAACCATGATTGTTTTAATGTCCCTCCTGATACCACTTTACTCTGTAGAATTTCATCAGGATTTCCTGTGTTAACACTTGTAGAACCACGCCAGGAAGAGGCACTCAGTTAAATACACAAATATTAACAGCCTGCAAAAATATTAAAAACTCTGATGATGTCTAGTGGTTCTTTCTGCAGTATTTTGCAGGTTGGACGCTCTATGCATTTAATGAATTTCCAGAGTCAATTACAGTAACGACAGTTATAAATAATACAGGCTCAGAGTCAGTGAATGAAATACATGGGAGCAGTGAGCGATCTACCTCTGGTGAATAGAAAAAGAGCTCTTGTGAACTGAAGAAGGGTTGTGGTAAAAAATAAATATAATACTTATATGTTAGAAAGTCCTAAAAGAGCTCTCGTGAACAGAGAGGTATTTTGTACATTGCCTAAAGTGTTCATGTACAGGTACTATCAATTTAATGTGTGGGAGCTTTTAACAATAAAACTTTAATTAACCTTCTCTATGCTTGTAGTGTTACTTTACACAATGAATGAACATTGTATCTCTTTTGCAAAAGACTTTTGATCTCAAAAAATTGCAAGTCTACAACAATGGACATGTATCTTCAGGTTTGAAATTTGAAGTGACAGGTTTGCACCAAAGAGCCCATCTTACCCCTCCCAGGCTCCCCCTGGCCATGGACCATAGCCAACAGGATTTCACTTTACCCACCAGTTTGGATACTTTCCAAGTTGCAATTTTACATGTTTGAATTTTGTTGTGGACTACTCTGTTATATGCCCTGCTACCCCTTCTTCTTCATGTTCTTTGATATATCATTGTATCCCACAATATGGCAATCCTATCAAATTGCTAGTTTACATCCTTTTGGGGTACCTGCAGAATCGGTTTGAATTTCTCATCTGAAGCACCAGCTCAAGGGTATGATACCGCAAGGTTATGATGGTAATATTTTTTGGGAGTCCTAACTTCCGCAGTAAAACCTCATCATGATAAATTTTGTGTTGGTGTCAACTTCAAGCATGTGTTGCATACTGTGGTTTTCATTAAAGAGGGATAAATCTACTGCTTTGAAATTTACCAAAAGACTTTTTTTTAGCAAAGAGACTTTGCATAACTTTAAATGGCAGGAAATTTCACAAGATTTTAGAAGGTTGGCATTGATTCAGAAAAGCAGAAACTGCTGTCAAACATATTCTTAAGTTAGCCATTTGTTCTAGGTTAGGTTTTCCCCACCGAAAGTGAAACAACTTAGAACTTTTTTAAAGATGAATAATCGCCCCCATATTTATGAGATTAAAGACAGTTTGGTTATTAAGAGCATACACAATTGACAATTAAAAGATTCATAGAAAATGGCTTGATACTTCAGCCATCAAGAATAAGTTCTCCCATTGTTTGAGAATCACTATATCATTTATAATATAAGTAGCATTCAGATTCGTATCGCATTTTATCTCCATTAAAACAAAAACCCTTTCACTTTAACTCTTTCCATCACGCATCTCTGTGTGCTGAAATTGGAAATGACTTATGTATGTCCCAACAATCATTGTTCCTCCCCTCCCCCCTCAAGCTCCACCCCACCCCATCTAACCCAGGGTAATGTAAAGTCATGTTGCTCATGATTCATGAGAATCATTATCTCTAACAGGAGACAGGAAGTTTCCATAATGAGGTAAAAGTTTGAAAAATAATTTCAATGGGATGCATCCAATTTGCAGCTTGCAGAAAAGCATTGTCCTAAAGTTAAAGGTATTACAAAGTTTTGGTATGGGGTCATGAATTTGGTTCAAATGAACATATTGTAAGCATATACGATCCAACAATATTCAGTGATCGTCGTCGCGGTTGAAATCGAGTCTAAAGTTATGAAATTGAAAATAATAACACTTTATGTTGTATAGCCCCCTCTCAAGGTCAAGATATCAATTAAGATATACAAAAAATGTTTCTGGACTAAATCGACCAATTACCTTTTCCTGTTTGGATAATATATATCACAACTACACATTCTGAAATTTTCATGGTCGCAGTTACCATTGTGCGGCCGTAGGCGCTATTTGAAATTTATCAAGATTTACCGGGAGCACCGGTAAATTTTTATATTCAATTTTTCTCAAAAGCAGAAGTGTTTAGGGGCTAAATTTTCTAGTGCTTATAATACATCCACAGGGGCATCCAAATATATCAAAATTGTAAAGAATCCTTATCCACCCAATTTTCAAAATTTCCCAAAACTTTGTATTACCTTTAAAGATTATCTGTTTATGTAGGCCTAACATCAGTAGGATTTAAATTTAAGTTAAAAGTTAAAAGTTCCATTACATGATAAACCTGTACCTGCATTTTTTGTTTTTTAAGTTCAAAGTTCAATAGTACACATATTACATACCGACATTGTTTGTGGAGAACCACCACTTTCCCAGATGTGAGTGACTTCAGATGACCTGTGACCTCTTTTTCTCTCCGACATAATTTCCTCCTCAGAATGTCAAAATGTTGACGAACTTCTCGCATCATTTTCTCCTCCTACATAAATAGTTGAATACAATTTTTTTTAAATTGAATACTTTCAAATAGTGACCTATTAATCTCATTATACATTGGCTTTAGTGGCGGTCAAATGTGAAACAAAGTACAGAGGGCTTTGTGGTAATCCAATATCACTCATTCAAGGACTTCTGTTCTTATATTTTCATGGTCAACTCTCCTGTTTGTCATAATCTAAAAAATATAATCCTGTTTTCCTCCAAACTGCCTTCTCCTTTAATGCATTCCTCAGGATATGTTATAGATAGCATACTATCATAGATCCTCTCCCCCCCCCCCCCCAAAAAAAAAAAAAAAATATCTTCCAGACTAAAACATTGACAACAATTTAAATTTGTTTGCATGGTAATGAGTTGTCCAGCGCTACATCAAATGAGATTACCCCTTTGGCCAAATTGAAATTCCTATATAGTGAATACAACTTTGAAAAATGTATACATTTTCAAGTGTTTGTCTAATTTCATTAAAACTTTCATCAGTCTCATTCTCTGGTTCTTCTGCTCTCTTTTATTGCAATCTGCTATTAACTTGGATTCCCCTTTAACCCTTGTACATGTTTATTTCACTTTAATATGAATTCATGTCCAATTATGTTTTTTCAAAAGTACAGGGAAGGAAATGAAATAAGGGATTGATTTCCTCAAGCATAGTTACTTTTTTCCCGCCATTATGTTTGGGGGGGGGGGGATCCAAACAAGGATACGAAATTCAAAGATACAGGAAGAAGGCCTGGGAGAATTTTATTATTTACACATAAAAGAATGGAAAGTGAAACTACATGTACAGTGATAAATGATCTCTTTACAAGTACATCTATCAATTTGAACCACAATTATACTGACAAATTTCATTGGGCAATGGATATTTTCTTGTATCGAACATGATTATTTACAGATTAAATCATTTGAAATCGTTATTCACAGGAAGATTCAAGAATCAAATCAAGAAGAAGTTACAATTGTTTTTTAATATGTCAAATTACGTAAATTTATTAAAATTTCAGTTTAATTTAAGTGGCGATGTCGTACACAAAAAGTGTATACCCTGTATGAATGAATGGCAGGGTACATCTTCCTTTTTTGTCTTGTTTTTTTTTTAATCTGTTCTTGTGCACAATACTCTTGCAACTTGTTTGTTGGAAAATGTCCTGTAATTCATTTTTGCTTACAATAAATCACTATCGACCTACATGTAAGGATAAGATTCATCTATAAAGGAAGTATGGTGAACAGATTAGGTTTTATTTATAGCTAGTACATTTATTTTTTATACAAGTATCCCTAAGGCCTTATAAAATTGATTTCGAGTTTCTAGTCCTGAATCTTTTAAAATGAGGGGGGAGGCAGGGTCCTTTAATTTAAAGATTAATATTATTCCCGTACATTAAAATGCTATTGGGTCAATTTTAATACAAATTTTCTTAATCAAATTTCCTTTGTACATGTTTGCCCTTCAGAAGCTCAAAACAATGTAAAATTGCAATGTATTAATGATTGTTGTTATCTCACTGTTTAGATGTACTTTTAGGAATTAGTGTATGGTATTATTTTATGGTTTATTTCATAACAAAAAATATAAAATCACAGTGGGAAAAAGTGAGGCAGGCCAAAAAAGGGAGGAGGTGACAAGAAACTAAGAATTCATTTTACTGGGCCTAATGTCCCTGGGGTGATGTTCAAGTTGGTTCATAACGAAACAAAAATTCAGAACAAAAAGCGAGAGCTCGACCTTCTGCCCCCAGATTCCTGGATATTCACTAAAGAGAAACCAGCATGTTCAAGGCGATGCACATAAAATCAGCCACATGTGTTTCAATTTAGTAGCATGGTGTAGTAAGATTAGGATGCCAAAACTTGGAATAAGGCATTCACATTCATAATTTTCATAAGCTTTCATCAAAAGTAACATGTACTTAAAGGAGAAAGTCCACACTTATTATATTGAGTTCATTAAGTTCATATAAAGTGATCAATCACACACTAATTGGTATCTCTGTGATGTTTCTTTTGAGGTTCCCTTTCATTTGCACTGTACTCAAAAATGTTTATTTTAATTTAAATTTTCAATGAGACATTCATCCTAAAAACAATTATTGCAAAATATGTTTGTATATAACCCCTGTATGATAACAATTAAATACCTAAAAAAAAAAAAAAATTCTGTACAGAGCAAATTGGAGAGATCACAGTGTTCATAACTTTCCTATGTTTGATCGGATAATGCTCAAACTTTCACTAATTTCTTTCTCTCATTTTCTGCTTTAAAGGTAAAGACCAGTTATGGTCATGCGATTGCATTGTGAAAGAAACGTTGTGGAATCGATCAGAAAAGGTTGATCATATAGCATATAAGTATGTATAAGTATAAGTATAAGTGTGTACTGCAAGGTTCTGGAATCGGTTCCATGACACATGCTCTGCCGACGATTGCTCCTCCGACATTTACTCCGCAAAACGCGACAATTGCTCCGCGACAGTTGCTCCGCGACAGTTGCTCCGCGACAGTTGCTCCGCCGACATTTGCTCCGCCGACATGTGCACCGCCGACAATTGCTCCGCCGACATTTGCTCCGCCGACAATTGCTCCGCCGACATTTGCTCCGCAAAACGCGACAATTGCTACGGTGACATTTGCTCCGCTGACAATTGCTCCGCCGACATTTGCTCCGCCTGAAGCGACACTTGCTCCGGTGACATTTGCTCCTCGAACGACAGTTGCTCCGCCGACAGTTGCTCCGCCGACACATCATCGACACACTTTCATGATACAAAAATAGCATACGTATCACCTAATTCGTCAAAGTGACGAATTAAAGTCTAGTTATATTTGTTAATCATATCATTATTATCATCTGTATTATCAGCATATTCTACAATGGCAGTAGTATAGTATAGTCATGTAGAAGTAGGCCTAGTAGTAGAGGTATCATTCTGATCCTTATTATCCTGATTATCTTTTGCAATACGTCTATATAGATGATAAACTCACGACAATTTACAATTGTCATGAATCATTGTCTTTAAGCTTACCATTAAATGCATCTGGTTCAAATTTTGCTTAGGTATTTGGTACGTGATGATTTAAATGGTAGAAATGAACTTGTGTCCTATTCATTCTAGTCTTATTCATTTGCATTATGTTTTATTCATTCAAGTTCTAATGTTTCTGACTGTTTTCAAGACAATATCTTTTGTGTCGATCCAAGTTCTATGTAGCTTGATATCTCACGGTAATTTTGAGAGAAAAGCAATGCAAGCAATGATTTCTGAATTGTAGCGACAATCGCGTTCGCCTTTGCTGTTCTTCAATAATATTTGACAAGCAGTATTAATTAATTTTTCAAGGACTCATGATACATTCGTTTAACAGTTGATTACCCTCGGTTGATTCTTTTGTTCGGATTATTTGGCGGGGAAAATGTATTATTGAAAATGTATTAGTAAATGTATTATTATTCTTATTTGTTCATTGTCTCTACGATGCTCTTTGAATCAAAAACAGCTTTTAGTGTTTGGCTTCCTGAAAGAAATTTCAATTGTTGTTAAGAATATTTTGGTTGCACTCTGTAGATTATGATGATGTGTTTGATCTTTTTTTCAATACAAGATCAAACACATGATGAAAATCTACTGGCTGCATGCCAATAAGTTCTTGACAACAATAACAAAATGTGAGCTAGTGCTATTCGGTGTGGCGTACACATGGCAATCACATTATAATCATCAGTACTGGGTCAAATAAATTAAAGAGAACTGAATTTGAACCCGGGCCATAGGCTACCCCCTCTCTTTCTCTCTCCCTCTCTCTCCCTCTTCGTCGCCTTACTTTTCCCTCTCTTACCTCCCTGTGCATTTGAATGCCTCGATAATACAAAAAATAAACAATAAGATTCTTCCTCTTCCCCTCCTTCTTTCTAGTACATGTAGTAGGAGTAGTACTAGAAGCAGTATCACAATAATAATGAAAACAATGATTATTATGGTTGGTGGTGTTACTAATGTTATTTTTTGTAATTATTATGTTTGTTATTGTGATTATTATCCTTATCATGATTATTATCGTTAATATAAATTATTATTGTAATTATTATAATCATTATTATTGTTATCATTATGATGAATATGAACATGATGATTTTGATGACGATTAGTATAAGTATATAATTGTTATCATATCATTATTATCATCTGTATTATCATCATAATCTACAATGGCAGTAGTGTAGTATAGTACATGAAGAAGTAGACCTAATAGTAGAGGTATCATTCTGATCATTATTATTCTGATTATCTTTTGCAATACGTCTAGACGATAAACTCATGACAATTGACAATTGTCATGAATCATTGTCTTTAAGCTTACCATTAAATGCATCTGGTTCAAATTTTGCTTTAGGTATTTGGTACGTGATGATTTAAATGGTAGAAATGAACTTGTGTCCTATTCATTCTAGTCTTATTCATTTGCATTATGTTTTATTCATTCAAGTTCTAATGTTTCTGACTGTTTTCAAGACAATATCTTTTGTGTCGATCCAAGTTCTATGTAGCTTGATATCTCACGGTAATTTTGAGAGAAAAGCAATGCAAGCAATGATTTCTGAATTGTAGCGACAATCGCGTTCGCCTTTGCTGTTCTTCAATAATATTTGACAAGCAGTATTAATTAATTTTTCAAGGACTCATGATACATTCGTTTAACAGTTGATTACCCTCGGTTGATTCTTTTGTTCGGATTATTTGGCGGGGAAAATGTACATGTATTATTGAAAATGTATTAGTAAATGTATTATTATTCTTATTTGTTCATTGTCTCTACGATGCTCTTTGAATCAAAAACAGCTTTTAGTGTTTGGCTTCCTGAAAGAAATTTCAATTGTTGTTAAGAATATTTTGGTTGCACTCTGTAGATTATGATGATGTGTTTGATCTTTTTTTCAATACAAGATCAAACACATGATGAAAATCTACTGGCTGCAT